ACACACACACACACGCGTGCGCGCACACACGCGCTCGAACACACATGCATACACACACGCGCACACACTACACTATTATTATTAATATTATTATTATTATCGTTGTTGTTATTGTTGTTGTTGTTGTTATTATCACAAATCATTATTATATAATGTTGACTCTTTAAAGAACAAAAAAAAACTTTTTAAAAAACTATGTCTCCCTTTTCATTCGGTGAGTCCTAGATTTCGCCGAGTCAGCCGGCGTTCGGTGTATGCAAGGTTTACTCAATTTTAGGAAAGCCCATCATGCCGAGCCCTTTGACTCACCTTTAATTTCGGGCTCAGATACCGGCTCGTCGTCGATGTCGTCCTCCATGTCCGGGGCGAAGTTACCACACTTGGGGAAACCTTTCGGGGGCGGGGATACTTGGGGGAAGGATTCGTTGAGCATGATGGCCATACCATCGATGGCGTGCAGCTCAATATGGCAGTGCATGAACCACAGGCCGGGGTTGTCTGCTCTGATGCGAATGACCACGTAGCTGAGAGAGACGCAAGGAAACACAGTTATTAGAACTTAGTTTAGTTTTAGCAAGAGTTTTACGGCGCTTGGAACACAATAATAATGTTATGATATATGTGTCGAAGATTAGAGGCGTTACAAGAGAGTAACAAACATATACAAGATGGAGGAGAGATAAGGACGATAGACGTTTGATAGGAAAGAAGGAGCAAACCACACCAGAGAACCCGCCATCCACTCACATAATAAGAATTGAAGACGTTTTACGTCCCCTATTGACTCAATGGAAACACAGTCCATGTGTCAAGATGCTTGTGCATTGTATGTAAATAACAATTGTATTGTGTGTCAATGGTGAGACAATGAATGCATTATGTAGAAACAAAAGACAACGATGCTAAGAGTGTAAACATAATGAGGAGAAAAATATCGCTTAAAATCATTTGAGGCCTACTTGTAAAAGTAATACTCTTACTTATGACTATGACGTGTAAATATAATAATACCAATAATCGTAATTGTGCTTGGTAATACGTGTAAAAATAAAAAAAATTTACGCAGAAGTCTGACACTAACTCTCAGATTTTGGTTTTCATAAACGGCTTCACAATATTAAAAAATGCCATTATCTGTTATACTTCTCTGTCTCTGCTCTGGTCATGAATGTCGAGAGGGGTATCTCAGACTGAAGTTAAAGAAAAACCGTAAGCTACAACAATAGGTATTGTAAGTGCAGTTTCCAACAACAAAAAAAGCATGGATGAAAGATACGAAATTGATACTTGTACAAGTTCAATGAAAAGTTGATATTTTGTGGGTTTCAGGCTGGGTTTTTTTTTTAAATACAATTTTTGTTTAAAATTCATGACTGTGCATTTTCCACCTAGCTATTTCCAAGATAAATATATTTAAAATAATTACAATTTGGCGTCACATAGATCTAGTAAACCTAATTCTACTGACTTACCCTCCTGTTGGAACCTGGACTGTGTCTTTACGGGGAGGAAACTCCAGCTCCAGTCCCGGGATATTGTTACCTCCCCAGGAGGAGTTGGCCCAGGCGGCGGAGTTACAGAAACTCTTGTCTGCGGTGACGTTACCTCGGCAGTCGATGTCGTGGTTATCATCGATCAATTTTCCTGCAATGAATGGACATGTTTTGTTAACAACTGCCTTATAATCGAGAGTTTCTTCTCCTGAGCACTGTTTCTGTCGACAAGAAAAAAAGTAAACATCCTAGGAAAATTTTGAACAGACAGACCCTCAGGATTGGATGTCTGAAAGAAGACGTAAAGGCCAAGTTAGCCAAATGTTATAGGGCCTGAGTTGCCAGTGTTTTTGGAAGAGATGCAAATGGTTTAGACGTAAGTAATAATAAGATCACCGGAGTTAATTTTTTGGGCCTTTTTTACTTCTGCAGAAAGATATTTCTAAACTGCTGGCCCTACTGTTACTGTTAGGTATTTCGGTAAGACCCGCTTTGCTTGTAAATTGTGTCTTTGCTGTTATCAAGCATGCGTAAAAAGATAATGATTATTGTTATGTGATTTAATTTAATTGAATGTAGCTGAGTCTGTACAAACCAGAGTACTGTCTGTGGGTAATAACTGACGTGTCTCATATTTCAATATACACTCAAACATCCAGATCCCTGTTGTTCTCTTTTAATAAACATGCCTTGAGTATGGGGGCCTGTGGCCACATACGGATTTCTGCAAGGCCAACGCGATGGACTACACTTCAAACTAAATCGTTAAGAAAAATGTATCGTTAAAGTTATTGTTCAAGAAATTTTAGGGAAAGGGGGAGGAAGCGGTGGGTGGTGGTGGTGGTAATGACATCATGAATTCTAGCCATTCGGAGCCCATTCGAGCAAAAAAAGCTGCAGATTCTAGTTCTACCTCGTATCTGGGTTTACCTGTAGTCTCGTTGTATTTCGGGTATCCGGTCTTGAGGAGGTGGAAGGTATGACCGTGCATGTGAACTGGGTGGGCCCAGCCTTTGCCGACGCCCATGTTGAGCAGAACCAGCTGGTATACTTTGTTGTGCTACAGGATATAAATAAACAGTATGGAGGTTAAGACAAACGTGTTAACTTCATTTTAAATGTATACGTTTTCTTTTCTTCTCTTCGATTCTCATTATAATTATCAAGCGATCAATCAATCAATTTGCAGTCTATCTATCTATCTATCTATCTATCTATCTATCTATCTATCTATCTATCTATCTGCATGCGTGTACCTGCAGGTTCAGGGCATTGGGACAGCTACAGACTTGCTGTTCACCACACAAGGCAGGGTCACACCAAGTTGTGATGTCCTGTGGTTGCGTCAAACCACTCACTGGAAGGTGCTGAGGGTCAGAGGTCAGAGGTTGGAGGTCAGATATCGCTGGTTATGGGGATTTGTAGAGCTTAACATTTGTTTTAGTTTTAGAAAAAGTTTTACAGCAGTCGTAATACGAATATGTTACAGAATCTATACAGCGAAAGATTTTGTCAGTATGTTAGTGTTTTAGCACATATAAAATGGTAGCTTGCACTGTATACTTCCAAGAAAAATCAGGTTGTTTCAGAAAGCTATCAGGTCTGCTGGGGTGATAGTATAGACGGTAAAGCGCATAGAGCTTGCTGTTGTGCAGGAATGTGCGCTATACAAATGCTATCCATTACATGCTATCTATCATTATAAGTGCCAAAGAATAGAGGATGTTACTAGAGAGTAATATTATACAAAGAAGAGAAGGAGAGAGAAGGACGAAAGATATTTCATAAGAACAAAAGAAGCAAACCACACCACAGCAAACTGCGCCCAGGCATATTCTCTGGTGCATTCGACAGCAGATGCGTGCAAAATCTATTACCACGCAAACCACAATATGTGCAAACAATGGCCATGCTGAGAATACGAGTTTATTTATATTTACGTCACTATGTCCAATGTGAAATTGATCCACAAGTGAAAAAAGCAAACAAACGCTTTCACGCAGCCGAGGTGTGTTTCTTTGTATGGTGTACAAAATTGCATGGTAAATATGCACCACAGAATAATAGATCAACTCGATTCACGAACTGTCGGTGGCGAAAAGTGTCCGTGCCTGACTCTGCGCACTGTACGTGTTTTGATTACTTTCACTGGCAGACTTCAATCAAGTTCATGCCCGGAGGGTCAAAGTTCGGAGAAGGCATATCTTACGTGATATGCTGAATGTCTCAAATTATAATAAATTTCCATTTTCATATGAACATGCACGAAACAACTAAATACAAAAACAAAAACAAAAGTCTTTAAGGAACTTTCTTTCTGAACATCTCGCCAGTGTAACTTAAGTTTTGGTGAATGTAACCTCATCTCAATGCCTGCTTTTTGGCTATTTCTTTGCAGTTTATAATTATGACGAATTATCGGGGATCGAATCCTTCGGTCAAGACTTTTGAGACGGCTGCGACTCCCGGACGCATTGCAGTGTGGGTCATGTTGAAGACGAATCGGGTTTGTGGAAACGACTCTCCCCACCCCTCTCCTCCCCTCTCCTCCCCTCCCCCCTTTCTGCACACCAGAAGTAAGTACAGGCCTGTTAAGGATGCTAAAAATCCACGCTTGTGTTGTTGTTGTTTTTTTCTATAAAATTATAATATTACTATTTTTGAGGGTCTAAACTGGCCACTTCTCTCATCGAAACTGGGCGTTTGTCTTGGACAAGTTCGATTGGATTAGTTTTGAGCTTCGTCAATAACCCCTTGCAGTCTCATACACTTTTGAGGTAAAGTTACTCGACTGAATGATATTCTACCATATGAAACGAGTGTGTTTGCTGGGGGGTAATCGAACCGAACGGATCCTCCAATGGGGACCGCCTATAAGCGGCGTTTGTCCCGACCACCTTTCCCCGCAGCTTCCACTAGAGGTGGACAAAATCCGGATAATCTATAGGATAACCGGATCGTTCTCAATGAAACATTATCCGAATTCAGACTCTTAACTCTCTTTTTTCCTGACCCGTTTGCCGAAGTGGGTGCACCCATTTGTTGAAATGATGCTACCCGCTTGTCGAAGTGGTTCTAACCCATTTGCCGAAGCGGTTCATATCATATTATTTGCCGAAGCGGTTCATATCATATTATTTGCCGAAGAGGTGCACTAAGATAGTATCCGGATTTTGCTAAAGCGACTCAATGCCCAGCCCTACCTTCCACTCACCTCAAAAGCCCTGCCATTGACGGAGCCAGGCGTCCAGGTTGTCCCGGGGAAGGCAAAGTTCAAGAAGATCTCCTCAATGTCCTCAGGCTCCGATTCGTCAGTGCCGGGTGGGAAATTGTCAACTTTGGCCCGGAAGTCGCTGACAGACTTACAGGTTGTGAAGTGATCCTCGGGGAAGTAGGAGAAGGGACAGTTGGCCACGATACAACTGGGGAAGTCACAACAGACGAAGTGTAAGTCCTGTCAATAACTGAGACTAACGTTAAACAAGGTTGACCCAGGGAGGAATGATCAAAGAAGCCCATCTCTTGAATAAACTAAAGTGCGTTACATAGTATTGTTAAAACAAAAAACAAAGTGTATCAAAATTGATCACAGAGTGGTTGCAGACAGGTCCTACAGGAACAGGAGGGCTGTGACGGTCGTGATACGCGAAGACTTTGGGGTTATGCTTTTTTTTCCCTTCAAGTAATCTGTGCGTTTTGATGACAGAGATATATTGTGATTTTTCGCCTGAACACAAAGTATGTTAGGCGTGTATGATGCTACTTATTTGTATTTGCCCAGAGCCTGTGTTGAAGCTGTATATGTATCATACACTAGTATCATTTCTTCATGGCGTCGGTAGCCTAGTGGTTAGGCTACCGGACTCGTAATCGTGAGATTGCAGGTTCGGGGGTTCGAGCCTCAGCTCGGTCCGACGTCGTGTCCTTGGGAAAGACACTTTACACGAACTTCCCACTTGGCTCGGTCCTATCGGAGACAGACGTTAAACTAGGAGGTCCCGCCTCTTAAATAACCTAATAGTGTTGATAGGGGCGTTAAACTCATACCATTTCACCATTTATTTCATTTCTTCACCCTCTATCCCCCAACAATCGTACACGTAAATAATTGTTCTTATTATGATAATAAAACACATCGTAATAATAACACACATCGCTCACCAACTCCCCTAGGTGAGGGGGGGGGGGGGAATCTCGTAGTTTAGAGGTTATGGTGTTTGTCTCTCATTCAATGGGTCCCGGGTGCGAATCCAGGCAGCGATATAACATTTTCTTCTCTTTTTTTTTATTTCACCCCCTTTCCTGCTCTCTGACCATAATATCATTATTATGTCGTCTGTTTTCATCTCCACTTTCTGGTCCTAAAATCGATAAGAGTAGGCTTGGGCCGCCACTCGGGCAAAATTCATAATTTCCTATCAACTGAAAAATGTTTTACGTGTCCCGTGCGCTCATATATATGACCTTATGTAGTTGCGAGCGCCGTAAAACACTATCCCAAAAAATATATATATAATCCCCTGCTCCTACCTGTCGGCTTGAGAACAGACTTTCCGGGAAGTGGTCGGCTCCTCCAGGCTGGGGGATCCCTCGTACTCCAGGATTGCCTCAGCCTTGTGGTTGGGAACGTCAATTTCCAAAGTCTCCGCTCTGATCCAGTAGGGTTTTGCGTCTTCTATGGCGTGCAGTATGACATCGTAGCGTTCTCCCGGGTTCAGAATGATAGACTCAACTACCATTGGCTCCAGTTCGAACCTGCAGATTGAGTTATTTTGGTTCAGTATGGGTTTCACGGTGAGTTGGAGCGAGAGGAGTACCATTTCTCAAAGGAGATTTTTTAAAAAGACATGTAATGGGAAGTAGACTTTTCGGGGTAGCTACCGGAGTGGAAAGGTGACAGGAGGCAGAGAATAGAGCGGGGGTGCTACAGTAACTGTAGTAGCAAACTTTATTCATTTGAGACAGCGGATTTCCGAGAGTTATCAACCCTATTCCTTGACTTGACTTATCGCGGGTGTAATTTTTCTGACATGAGGTTAAGCATTCGGAGTATACCTTTTTAGTACAAACAAACACGCACACAAGCCCACATACACACACAGACACACATACAAACACAATAGCGCTCACACATTGCCAAATACATCATTAAGCATTTGATAAACATTAATGTGTACCGCTCTCTTTTTCACAATATTTGTAAAGAGCATGATATATTTATATTCATAACATATTTACATATTATTACATATATATATATATATATATGATATGCTTGTTTACCCCCCCCCCCTGCGCTTTTCATTTGAACCTTGGACTTCGTATTAGTTAGCTAACGACAAGCATAATATAATATACAGAATACAGGAAAGATTTTGTTCACGTACCCATCAGATGCAACAATGGTCAGTGGATGATTATCTATGGATACCCGGAAAGGATACAGACTGCCGGAGCCGATGATACGGAACCTGGAATGGAAACAAAATACATAAACTGTCTGTGTGTATGTGTGTGTGTGTGTGTGTGTGTGTGTGTGTGAGTGTGTGTGTGTGTGTGTTTCTGTATGTGTGTTTGTGTGAGTGTGTGTGTGTATGTGTGTGTGTGTGTGAATGTGTGTGTCTGAGTGTGTGTGTGTGTGTCTGAGTGTGTTTGTCTGAGTGTGTGAGTGTGTATGTGTGTGCGCATGAATGTGTGTGTG